AAATGCGTTTTTCTCCAAACGTGATTTTTTTTATACTCGATGACCTTTTCTCAGAAACTACTACTCACAGGTATCTAAAATTTTTATGGTTTATTTATTAGTTTCCTATATTTATTAAAATGAGCTTTATGTGATAATTTTTGTTTTGTTTTGTTTTGTTTTGTGTGTGTGTGTGTGTGAGAGAGAGAGAAGTATATACTTGCTACCAACTATGCCTACATACTATGCCTTTTACTATGCCTAACAAAATATTTTGTAAATTACCCCAAAATGTTTCAAAAGCTCTTTTTAGGCTACTTTAATTAATCAAATAGGTATACTTTAATTACACAAAAAAAAGTTCAAGCGTGTATCTACAGCAGATTTTGAGAAAAGGTACATCGAAAATGGCCAATTTAACATCGTCGGTATAGAGGTTTCTGACACCTCTTTAAATAAACAAATGTGCCAGGAAATTGTATATAGAAAATCAGCAGCTTTGAAACAATCTTTTCTCTTACACTTGTTTCATTCTTTATGAATTACTTACCCTTTATTTAGTATTAAACGTTCTTTCTTTTTATTTCTTGAATTAACTTTATGCTTCCTTGTTTCTGTTATTTTTTAACGTCTTGACTATCTTTGATTATGAAATATTCTTTAGACGTAACAACCTTGCTTTTTAGGATTCATCGTCTTTGTTTTTCTCCGAATTTTACTTTCTTTTGATTGTCCTTAGTGTGATTAACCGAAAAGAAATGTGGCTCGTATTTTATTCCTAATTTATATATTATTTAATAAATCGTCCTCATATAATATATTTCCTGCCAGGAAAGTCTTTTATTCAGCTAGCTTAATTTGATTCAACAAGACTGTCATTATTTTGAGACAGAAAATATGAGGAAATACATAGTCATATTTTAGTATCGTACTCCTTTAACTTCATGGCATAAAAGGTTTATTGGTTAATGATTTCTGTTAGAAGGAAGATTTCTAGAATTGAGAAAATCTCGATTGCATTTATATGTTTCAAAGCTAGATATGCACCAGCTATTACAAACTTTGTAATCTTGAGTAATCTATTCAGCACCTTTCAGTCTAGACAGATCACGTGAAAGATACACTTCATCGGGTGGGCTCCAACTGGGCGAATGAAAATCCTCCCCACCTGTCCTTCTTAGCATAATAATTTAAATTTATTTACAATTTATACGTCAGTGATCCAAACGCATAGTAATGTTGTTATAATAGATTCATGCTAAGCTTTTTTTTTTTAATTTAACTATTAATTTCTGCAAACATTTACATGATTGCTTTAATTAACGAAAAATATTTCTAGCACACTTTAACACAGTTTGATATGGAATAATTTTTTGCACTCTATTAAATTTTCCAGTCTAGTTCAGACATCTTGACTATATTGATGTAATTTAGTAAAATATAATTTGTATGCTTTATAATTATTTAATTTATGATACTATCATAAATGAAAGATTTTTTGAATGCTAATATGTATGTTTACCAATACCTTTTATTTCTTGTTAGCTCTCGCATTTTTACTGTTATTCGTAATTAGCCTGCTTGTAGATATTTTTACTTGTTCTTGTGATATGTAATTCTATTTATTTATTTTTATTTTCCTCTTGCTACAATTGGCTTCGAAGTTAATTGTAACCTGTATGCAGCAGGAAAAAATTTTGATTGGCGCAGTTGGACTATACTCGACCGGGGGGGGATTTCATGGCGCAGTGGAGAGAACATCCTTCCCTGAGCGAATCAAAATTTTCTTCCCCAGTTCCTACAGATCAATAACTTTTCGAGCCAATTGTTGCCAAGAGGAAAATAAAAATAAAGAAATGATTAATTACATATCATCAGAAGAACAAGTAAGAATATCTAACAAGCAGGCTAATTAACGAATATAAAAAATGCGAGAGCTAACAAAGAAATAAAAAGTATTGGTAAACTACATATCACCATTACAAACTCTTCATTAACTACAATATATAGCAAAGAGTATTATAATAATATCATAAATTAATTATAAGCATACCAATTATTTTTTATAAAAATATCAATATAGCCAAGATGTCTGAATATACTTGGAAAATAATATAGTTCTTTGGCGTGCAAAAGATTATTCCGAATCAAGTGTGTTAAAGTGGTAGAAAATTTTCGTTAAAAGTATCATGTAAATGTTTGCAGTAATTAATAGTTAAATTTAAAAAATGCTTAGCATGAAATCTATTATAACAACGTTACTATGCGTTTGGAACACTGACGTATAAATTGTAAATAAATTAAAATTATTATGCTAAGAAAATTTTTCTAAAATTTATTTAGAAGAAAAGAATTAGATAAACATACTGCAAATTAATGTAATCAATCAGGCCTCTCAGTAAATAAAAGTTTATTTTTTAAACCAAAATCTAAAAATTGGGATATAAAAGTTTGTGATACTTGGAAATATCTGAACACATAATTAATTAGATACGTACAATTAAATTAATAACAAGCTAATTAACACTAGCATTAAGCTTAATTTCATTCAAGTAATCAAAATATCTAAAACAAGTAATCGAACTGAAGCTTTATTGCTATTTTACGTAGATTTGCGTATAAAATAAATATTTGCACTTGTGAAACAAGTGAATAATGTACTGATAGTCAACAGGAATTAAATAGAGTGGTTAAAAATTTAACTACTTGTCAAAGGTATGCAACTACCATAGCAGAAAATTGAATGATTAGAAAACTCATAAATTTAGCGCTACAGTGTGAAAAGAAATTCTGAAATACATGTTACAAAATTTAGATGGAGAAATAATCCTTAATTTGTTGGTATCCATAAACTCTATGCTTTGAAAAGGTTACATATAATTGAACCGAGGTATCAATTATCGAATCCGAGTTAACTTCTTTCCTTATTTTTTCTTATTAGAGGGATTTGTAAAAAGGTATGCTAAGATGAAAATTTTTGCGATATTTTTAAAGAATAAATTTAAAACATATTTTTGATTCATGAACTGAAATTTTTACGATGCATTTTTACACAATAACTAAGTACAAAAAAAGAAAGGTTAGGTTATTTAATTACGGCAAAGCCGCGAGGGCTATCTGCCTAAGGGGAGGGATGCCTTCGTGGAGAACAGGGAAACTGGCTCGTATACACGTTACAGTTGGGGAAAGCCACAAAAACACCCATGCAGTCAGCCTGTTCGCGGGATTCGAACCTCGGATCGAACTACCAGTGTTCAGCGACTTTACCGCTCGGCCGCGAGTGGGCACACACACGCAAAAAAAAGCTGGGAGATCTCTGGGATTAGAAACTCGGGTCGACCTACCAATGTTTAGGGATTTTTCCGCTTGATCATAAGACCTTTTGAAATTAGGCTGAAAAATATATTAAAAGAAAATAGAAGATACAGCTCACGTAGCAAACTGGGCTGAATTAGAGATTTACAAGTTGGGATGAGTTAAACTTAATCTTTATGCCATTATGAAATATTAGGAATGCAGCATAAAAGCAGTACTGAAGAAGGCAATGCCAACATAAATCATTGTAATCTAAATGTATAACATTATCAATATATGCTATTAATTTCAATACTGCTGAAAAAATTATAACTGAATTCTATTATAAATCAGGTTAGAAATATTATTAGGTGATTTAGTGACCATCTTTGTTAACAAATAATTAATTTTACAAATAATTCAGCCTGAAACTAGGTTAGAAAATGAGTTTCATGCTGAAAATTAAGCTTTACCAGATGTTAGAATATCTTCTCTTAACTAGAGTTATGAGCAAAATTTATAAGAATTTCTTTAAATATAAAGTGGCATAATACAATACAAAATATATAATTCTGCATACAAAACTTGAATACAGTGCAATAATATGTGAAAAAGGGATGGATTAAAAGGGAACTGAAAATCCCAAGACATGAATATAAGGGAGATCGATTATTTATTTATTTATTTATTTATTGGGGTTAATTATGAAAATTATTAAATGTGTATTACAAATTAAATGTATGCCAAAGTACATCAGATAAAGTAACTGGAAAACAGAATAAATATTTAAACGTTTCTAGTATTAAAATATGGACTTTATAAGAAAGTTAAATAACCTTAAAATAACTTCAATGACTAAAAATGGAAAGCTTAATACGTCAATTTAGAACCACTTAAGAAATCAAATTTTTAGATTTAATAAAGAAAATTGTTTAAATTAAATTAGAACTTTTTACCTAAAATGGTAAATTTGAAAGTTAAAACCATTTTGCTATCTAAGAAGATTTGTTAATATTTATCTAGGCAAGAAACTTATTTAAGGTGCTCTACAAATCCGATATTCTATAGGTTGATTATGTATCAGTTTTGTGTATGTCATTAATTTATCAATTTCATTATTCAAATCAGCGAATAAAATCTACAAGTTGAAAAGTTTTTAATTCTTACAGAGAATAAAAAAGATCTGGCTCACCATTCTTTTAAGCATCATAAAACTTTATAATGAGTGTAAAATAAATTCATTTTTATTTTACAGCTCAATTTATATTCAATAATAGCAATGGCTAATAGCGCAAACACAGTCTGTATCGTAATGAGTACAACCGACGTTCTGCTAACAGACATTCTGTAAGACAGAAGAGTTTCTGTCATACAGAGGCCTTTGAACTATATTGATGTTTTGCATCAGAAATTAACACCCCCATTAAATTACACTGTGGAAGAATTAGTGAAAAAATAAATATTTTGAAATAATTTGCTTAAAAGTACTTTTAACATTTGCACCGAGTTTTCAAGACTGAAGTAATCAAAACAGGTGAAGTGGACTTCTGGTTCGTACAAAATACTTACATATATACTAAAATAAAATCTAAGATAAAACATTTTCAACTATCACAAAATACAATTAATTTATAACTTATATAAAATTAGGTTCAATTCAGCATTTTTAAGCTATAAATTATTTTTTAACGCTCAGGACCGGACAAGTCCTAAAAATTTAGACTTACTTTCAATAAGTCGTTTGAGCTCTATTAATGTCTCTTTTTTAACTTCAGGCGTTTCTCCAAGTTCTATCCTAGCCTTTATTTCTAATTCTGCTTTAAAACCTGTAAAAGTGGAAGAATGTAATTCCATCTTGCTTCTTGAAATGTTCGAAACTTTCCAACAAACTATCTGAAATTATATCCTTCTTCCTTATCAACGTCATTCAAGGTCTTTTAATGCTATTGGGCTTATCACTTTACATTTATTTTAAATTTTGTACTGTAACAATGAAACATTATTCAGTTTTTTTTATTTCGTTGAAATCAAACTCCAATGCGATTAAACTATTCAAACTCTTATCATTCGGACGTCCTCGAAAAACTAGTTTTCTGAAAAGGCCTTCATTCACACTGACGAGTTAACTGCCTCTTATAATATCAGCAAGAACTCTAAGTTAAATGTAAAATTTTCGATAAACACGAATAATTTAAATTAGAAATTACCACCCTCATTGAGAAACAGGGTTTTACATTTATATTTTAAATTAAACAAGGAGTTTTTTGCGTACATTTTGCTGAAAATCTGAAAAATAAATTTATTATAAATAGACTATGAATTTAAATTCTTTACTAAATGAGCACTGTCGACAGAAATCAAACCGGCCAATGACTTTGACTCGAATGCTCTTCTGCAAGATCATTTTTATGGTTTTTTTTTTCATTTTTGTCACAAACCAGATAAAAAATTTCTTTACGAACGCACTTTCTTCTTCCGCATCGTCTGACAAGTTTCACTCAATAATGTTACATGTTATAGGAATATTTTGTAAGATTTGAAACTTTTATAAGCATTATAATTATTTATAAGTATTCATAAATCTCAAAGATAATATTTACTTTAAAATTAAACTTTCTATTTGTAATAAAAAGATATTTATATGCAATAGAATTTTTATTAGAATAATGTTTTCCAAATCATTTCTTTCTGTCAACATTTAATTTCAGATTATTTCGAGTTTTACGGTAAATACTCAAACGTTAAAAATACTGCATCTAGAAAATAATTTAGGGAAAAGATAAGTACAAGATAAGAAGAAAAATATTACTTGGTCATCTTATCACGGCTTCTTCTTGTTGAGTCATTTTTTAAATGCGAATATATTATGAGTAGTACATTTGCAATGGCAGATATTAGGTATATATATATAAAGTGTGTGGGTGTGTGTATTAATTTGTAATCACTATTCCATACTATTTCCCTTTAATTCACAGAAGCTAAAATGCCGGGTGATCAATGTCAATGCTAGTCTATTTATTAGAGTCAATACGTTACAGTTACTGACTGAATTGAAATCAAAATTTATACATATTGTATTCAAAGGACAGAAAAAGGAAATTCAAAACATGTTTCCTAAAAAACGTCAGCAAAATTTTTAAAAAAGGACCTGTTAAATAAATCAGTGAAACTAAAAAATAGGAAGCATTCATTTTAATTATGCAATCATTACGAATGAAATTACTGGAAGAAATATCATTTGGGGAGCTGAAAGCAAGAAAAAACAATCTGATTTGCATCAGAGCTACGCATCATATACTGCAATCCATGGATTATAAGCAGGGTTGGCCAAACTTCTTGTCAGTAAGAGCCGCACGTTTAAATTCAGGAATGTCCGAGAGCCGCATCTAGATTTTCTAAAAGCCACAAGTTCATATTTACATCATTATAGAAGTAGTGGAGGAGGTTTTAAATAGAAATCTCTGATAATTTTGTAAAAAGAATCTAAACTAATTAATTACTTCTTTTTGGACACTGAATAGTTTTAGTTTACCATATTTCATACATATATTTTATATGCACGAGCCGCATAAGTTGACTGCGAGAGCCGTATCAGGCTCGCGAGCAGCACTTTGGCCATCCCTGGATTATAGCATAAGATGCGTAACTCTTAAAATGGTCACCAGATATACACCTAAAATTATCTAAAAACCTTAATGAATAGAATTTGAACCAAGCAGGTCAATATTACCGAAATAACTCATGACATACCAAAGCCACCACAGACTGGTGCAAAACGTTTGATTTAGATCTGGTCACGTTTCCGACGTTCATATCACGAAAGAAATATGCAAAACACCAGCTGTCATATCTTAGCGTGAAATGACCTTTTTTCTAAATACGTAATCATTAAATACTTCATTCGCTATGTATTTACAATGTACTGATCGAAAATTAAATTTCAACACCAGAAATAATTGTGCTAGATAAACGAAACTTGGAAGGCGTGCTTGCACATCTGAAAGACGACGCTTATTCAAATTCAGTGGTAGAAGAATTGAGTGTGGTTTTAGAGGCTCCCACTATGAACGATAAAAAGTCAGAGTGACACAGCGATTGGTAACAAATCGATTACTTGAGAAACAACTTCGAACCAAATCCCTGTAGCGTCCATGTCACTAACTTCATATCAGTGTAGTCTGCGACTTCGTAGGTGTCGAACTAAAGCTCACTGGAGGGCGGAGTAGAGATCTTTTGTGTTCTCATATGAGATCCGGTTCTCTCTTAGTACCTGCGATGGCCATATGTTGGTTAGAACGAAGCCAGCCGAACGGTTGAAACCAATCTGTCTACTATGAAGACACATGGAACCTATACCATAATTTATGCTCTGGGAGCAATTTCTTATGAAAGATAAAACACTCTCGTTATTATCACACATATTTTGATAGCAAATTTATGCCTCGCACTAGTGACTGCGCCGGTTATGATGTTATTCTTGACAAATATTCCAAGGGACCTTTTTCAACAGGATAACTCCTGTTGCTCCATACCGCTGTTATCATCCAACATTCTTAACAGAGTGAGTGAGTGAGTGAGTGCACCGCTATGATGGCTTCCGACCACGGACATGAACCAAACGGAATTATATACCATCACGGCGGGGAAGACTCCAGAGTAACAAGGTTGAATATTATAAACTAATAACAGTTTTACATATTGTTACTGCAAGGCACTAAGCGTTATTTTGGTTATCTGCTTTGTTCTGAACTTTTGAAACATTATAATATTATCCACGTTTTTCTGCTTAGCAGGTTCTGAGATTTCTCTATTTTATCAAGGGCTATTGTGTTTTGAGTGTGTTAGTGGTCCACATTGCCCAGGCACAGTCGCTGGTTTCTTCAAGTGCCAGGTTCTTGTATGTACACAATGGAAGTAATATGGTCCGTGTCGCCTTCCTCTCCGCATTCGCAGAAAGGAGTATCCTAAGTCTGAATCTGTTCAGGTATACTGGGAATGTCCATGACCTGTCAAGAACTGTGTTAGGCTAGCACAGTGGGTATTTATTTCCATGTTAACTTTGGCAGTAGCGAAATGTCCTTCGTCCTACCTCTGCCTCTGTCCATCTACTTTGCCAATTTTGTAGCAGACTTGTCAAAGTTGTTCGCTTAATATGAAACCAAGGAAGTTTAGTTGGTCTTTCTAATATATCCGTAATTCTTAACAGAGTGTCGACATACAGCTTTCAACTGCGAGATCGCCCGATATTTCTCCACGTATGGGACATGACTAAAGACAAATTTTCCTTCATTCGCAAATCTGCGTGGACCGTTGTTTACCTGACTAATCTAGCGCAACAGGCATGAAACTGCATTTTCCAAAATGGCATGTGGCATCTCAACAAAACAGTGCATGGGGGTTTACATGCTTGCAGTCAAAAAAGTGGTGACTTCAGTGATTATTAATGTACCACCATTTCACATTTTAAATCTCTCTTCACGTGCGTACTTTTAACTTGTGACCTTGAAACATTAATCAAATAAATATTTTAGCGAATCAAATTCTTCGCCTGCATTTCATTCCTCTAAACTGATTTCTTCTTGGTACCGGGCTAGGAAATTTTATGCTTTTAAATTTAACATCTGTACTTGAACTTATAATTTTCTTTTATTGATAATTTTATATTTAAAAGATTTCGGGAGTGTACTAAGCGTTAAGAGTTTCCTTTGATACTACAAAATGTACAATTCGTCACTGTTTTAATAATTATCACCATCAGAATAATTTTTCTAACTTATTATTGATTGGAATGTTCTGAATCAGTTTGATCACTTTTTAATTCACTCTTTTAACGCAGTGATTCCATCCAATCCTGGAGCTCCTTCCAACTCTTCATTGAGATTCCGCAAACGAAAATTAAATTTCAGAAGAATTTGTTAATACTATGTGAATCGAGAAACTAAATATCTAACAGAATTCTTTAATTAACATGTTTTATTTCTCCTGCTGTTTAAAATAACATGAAGTAGACCTGTTTGAAGTAGATCAGAGTCGAGGAGACATTTATAACGAAATAATGATTTTCGTTCTCCATTTGAAATGCCAGCTGCACTGATATAATATATTCTCCAATTTTTCAGCAATAATTTTTCTCAATATTCTGAAGTTTTTCAGAGGAAATGGATATAGTAGAGTCTTATGGATTTCTTGAGTCGACAGGCCCAAGCTAGGGCTGGGTAATAAGAGCCATTAAATAATGGTAGTTCCTCTCGCGTTAAAACCCACGCAGATGACATGGCTGCACGGAAGTTTTTTTATGCGTTTCCCCATTTTTGTAACATAATATGAGAAGGTGTTTCTTAGAAGGTCATCCTCGAATGCATCCTTCCGTTAGGCAGATAGCTCTTGTGTGCTTTTACGTATTCGAGTAACGCAGCTTAACTTATCCTTGAGTCAACAAAGTTTGAATACTATTCTAACTATACTTGTTATTGCATATTAATCAAAATCCATGCCATCAAACAAAGTTTGGTGGAAGATAAAGAAAATACTAATGTGAGCACCCCATGACTTCGTTGTGCGGTCTATTAAATTGTACGCATTTTTGCTGCATTTCATTTAAACTTATTTCCTCGAATTTCATTAAACATATATTTCTCATTCAATTACTTCAATTCTCACTTCGCGGCAAGGCAAAAATACATAAAAACTCAAAACATCTTCATTAAAACTTGAAAAATATAGAAAAACATAAAACACCAAATACATTTAAAGTAGTTTTAAAAAAATTTTTAGAATTAAAATTAGATTTTCTACGCAAAAACAAGCAATTCCTCCAGCGGGAAAGAAGGCAGATATTTCGGTGAAGAAAACTGAGAGTTTGGTTTT